CTACTTATAGAAAATCCATGAGCCCTCAAGTAGTCTGACAGTCCATCACCCCTCACCGGCTAATACGACTCCAAGTCTCTCGCTCTGCAGAGTCTGCTAGGGGTTCAGGGTTTAGGGGTTTAGGGTTTAGGTTTAGGGTTTAGGGTTGAGGGTTGAGGGTTGAGGGTTGAGGGTTTAGGGTTTAGGGTTTAGGGTTTAGGGTTTAGGGTTTAGGGTTTAGGGTTTAGGGTTTAGGGTTTAGGGTTTAGGGTTTAGGGTTTAGGGTTTAGGGTTTAGGGTTTAGGGTTTAGGGTTCGGGCCTGGGGTGGTTAGGGTTTGGGGCCCCATCTCAAGGGATCCAGACTCGTATCCTTTGATAGAGGTGGGCGATGGAAGGGTCGATGGGAACGCCTGTGGGACGGCGTTGAGCCTCTATGGTGGCGACATGGTCGCTTCTCTAAGTTATGTATTGCTAGTACAAGGCAGCCCCGAATAGTGACGGTACCCAAAAAGGGACCATAATGTTGAGAGAACTGTCCAGAAAAGACGACGAAAAGGCACGGGGAACAGATTCGGTTCGTTTGGCAATGGCTCCAGAAGTAGCAGGGGAATGCATATGGGGCGGATACCATGGCTTGAAGCATTGGGGCCCGAAATAAGCAACCAGAGCAGCCAGGATGCGTTGCAGGTTCTATTTGAAGCCTAAACCCTAGACCCTAAACCCTAAACCCTAAACCCTAAGTCGCGTACACGTCTTGAAAGGCGGTCGGCTCCTTCATCAACGACTCACCGGTTCGGTGAGTGAGATCACACCATGGGATCAGGGTTTAGGGTTTAGGGTTTGGGTTTAGGGTCTAGGGTTTAGGGTTTAGGGTTTAGGATTTAGGGTTTAGGGTTTAGGGTTTAGGGTTTAGGGTTTAGGGTGCAGGTTTAGGGTTTAGGGTTGAGGGTTGAGGGTTGAGGGTTGAGGGTTTCGGGTTTTGGGTTTGGGGCTTAGGTTTTAGGGGAGAGGGTTTAGGGCTTAGGGATGTTTAGGGTTTGGGGTTTAGGGCTTAGGGATTCGGGGTTCGTTTTGGGATTCAGGGCTTCGGGTTTGGGGCTGAGACTTGTGCTTGCCTGGCTTTGTTCCAGAGCTCTTGCCCGACGCCTGCAGGGGATTTCCAGGTCTCGGGAGTCATTGGATGATTGAGTAACTAGATTATATGTAGGCACAGGGTTTAGGGTTTAGGGTTAGATTATGTACAGCTACCCTGAATTCCACCCCAATGGGCATATTCAACTTAATTAATCACTACTTGCTCAGTCCCCCGATCCTCCAAGTGGTTGAAGGCCAGACGGTGTGAAGCTTCAGGGTCTCAGGCTTAGGGTTTGGGTGGGGTACATCTGGGTCGCGAAAACCCTGACCTTCAAAATCCCATACCTTGGGATGTTCCCCCTTATGCTAACAGCCCTTAATGGGGACTGTACAAGGGTACATCCCAAAGAAGCTAGACCCTGGGCTTCTGAACCCCAAACCCTAAGACCATGCAAAGCCTCAACCAAACAAAAAGAAGCCAAAGCCTCGACACCCCTAAAGGGTTTGCGTTTAGGGTTTAGGGTTTAGGGTTTAGGGTTTAGGGTTTAGGGTTGGGTTTAGGGTTTAGGGTTTAGGGTTTAGGGTTTAGGGTTTAGGGTTTAGGGTTTAGGGTTTAGGGTTTAGGGTTTAGGGTTTAGGGTTTAGGGTTTAGGGTTTAGGGTTTAGGGTTTAGGGTTTAGGGTTTAGGGTTTAGGGTTTAGGGTTTAGGCCCCCCCCCAATGCCCTACAACACCCATAACAAATCCCACACCCCCACCACCACCACCAACCCAAACCTTAGAACTTAAAACACTTCTACGAAACAAAGACCTAGGACCTACTTCTTAGAACACTCCTTCGTTTAGCGCTCAAGAGCGCGGAGCCTACCATCAGGCATTTAGCGGGGGGTTAAAGCGGCTGGGGGGTTCGCAGGCTGCAAGAGTGTGGAAGAGCCCCACGATCCCAGCATGGTGTAGAGTTTAGGGTTTAGGGTAAGCCCTCCACCCCATCAATCCTAAATCCCAAAAGCAGCATAGCACCAGAGGATCTCATGTTGGCAGCTCGCCGCGTGGCTGTTCTGACGGCAAGCTCTTTTCCAGACAAATTGTCAATGTGGAGGGTAAGAAACCCAAAAAAGGTACCCCCCCCCCCCACCTAACTTAAACTGAAAAACCCTCATATTGCCGTGTCAGCTTTTTCGACTGGACACTAACAAAAAACCCTCAAAGCCAAACCCCAAACACTCAACCCTCAAAAACCCAAACCCTAAACCCTGAACCCGCAAACCCCTAAACCGTAAACCCTAAACCCTAAACCCTAAACCCTAAGCCCTAAACCCTAAACCCTAAACCCTAAACCTAAACCCTAACCCTTAAACCCTACACCCTACACCCTACACCCTACACCCTAAACCCTAAACCCTAAACCCTAAACCCTAAACCCTTAAACCCTTAAACCCTAAACCCTAAACCCTAAACCCTAAACCCTAAACCCTAAACCCTAACCCTAAACCCCCAACCCTAAACCCTGAACCCCCAAACCCCTAAACCCTCAACCCTCACACCCTACACCCTAAAAGGGGCTGGTCCTGGGCCGCTCGCTTCAGGGGTCCCCTCCTGACGCGGTGTGAGGTACTATTAGGGGTTTAGGGTTTAGGGTGTAGCGGATCTGGAAGTGTGGCCTGGAAACTGTGACTAAGGTGCAACCCGTGTACCCGAAACCCTACACTTTACCTAACCCTAAACCCAAAACCCTAAACCCTAAACCCCGAACCCTAAACCCAAAACCCTAGGTTGCGACACGGCTGACCAGACTGATTCTGGTCGAAGGGGCTCAGGGGTTCGGAGCTTGGTTCCGGGATTAGGGTTTAGGGTTTCGGGTTTAGGGTTTAGGGTTTCGGTTTCAGGGTTTCGGGTTTAGGGTTGAGGGTGTGGCAACGTTCTTCGCGCGCGTCGTGGGCCCGTTTCACGGGCCCACTCCTACGCGCGCGTCGCGTGGCGGTAGACCCACCCTGAACCACCCGGCATATAGCATTGTTACAGCATAACCCATACTCATACTCAGCTGCGCCGGGAGCACTGACGTCAGAGGGAGCTGGCTGATCTGGAAGCTTTGCGCCCTCGCTTTCGGAAGGTGTCTGGCAACCGCGAGTAGAAAGGAGGTAGAGGACGATCCTCGTGCACCTGCGCGATCAACGCCTCGAACTCGGCCTGGCCAATGCCAGTCGCTGCCGCTGGGCTCGCCATGGCCAGCCTGCACCCCAGCAAGTAGGCCTCACCTTCTGTCTCCGAAGCAAAGGGCCTGGGAGTGGATCGAGGCGTTCTATGCCCGTTAGTCCTGCCTGTCGAACCACTTGCCAAAGGCCTGCTCCGCACAGGATCTCAAGCACAGCCACGCGCACAGGCAGCACTTCTAGCACCAAACTCTTTACCACACGGGCTTGGCCCTTCAACACCTCTTCAACCCAAAAAGGTGACATACAACACGCCCACTGACCTGAGACTCCACCTACCTACAGCTTCGTGGTAAGTACCCCTTTAGTAGGAGGTATAAGCCATGAAACTGTAGACCCCTAAGCGCTAAACCCCAAACAGCACACTGCAGGTAAAGAGAGTCGCAGGAAGGGCCTACCCTCAGCGTGCTGAACCCTAAACCCTAAACCCTAAACCCTGAACTCTAAACACGAAACCTGGGAGGGCCTTCCGCTGACCGGCAAGCTGCCTCTCTTCTCCTTCGGCAGCCTTGGTGGAAGTTTAGTTCGGCGTAGGGTTTAGGGTTTAGGGTTTAGGATTTAGGGTTTAGGGTTTAGGGTTTCGGGCCTAGGGTTTAGGATTTAGGGCTGCCCTTGGGGGACGAAATGGGCATCGTTTTGCAGTCTCCACACTGCGCGATTGGGCATGCAACTTGCTCTGTCAGGCCGTGCGATGATCGGCCAATGACAGAACCATGTCCGTGAGCGATCGCATGAGAGACTCAGAGTTGAAGACACGCAACTACCCCTAAACCCTAAACCCTGAACCCTGAACCCTGAACCCTGAACCCTAAACCCTAAACCCTAAACCCTAAACCATACACAAAATGACATGCCGAATCCTCTGCTCTCAACCATGAACCTTCTCGGCTTCGTCTTCAACTCTGGGTTGGCGAGGCTATGCAAAGCTGTGCGTCAAAAAAAAAAAGGGTTTAGGGTTTAGGGTTTAGGGTTCAGGGTTCAGGGTTTGGGGTTTAGGGTTTAGGGTTTAGGGTTTAGGGTTTAGGGTTTAGGGTTTAGGGTTTAGGGTTTAGGGTTTAGGGTTTAGGGTTTAGGGTTTAGGCATGCTTCGAGTTTGCTTGGAGGTTCGTGAGTAGTTATGTCAGTCGGGTTAGGCGTACCCGAAGTCGAGCTATAAGTATCGTTACCACACTTGTAACCCGAAACTCTAAACCCTAAACCCTACACCCTAAACTCTAAACCCTAAACCCTAAACCCTACTTTATAACTACCCATGAACCTCCAAGGGTGCAGGGCGGGAAGCTGCGAGTGCAATAAGTTTCCTGCTCTGCCGTGCTCGGTAGGTGAGCCATCCCTTGCAATAGGGTTTAGGAGTTTAGGGTTTAGGGTTTAGGGTTGAGGGTTTAGGGTTTAGGGTTTAGGGTCATTCGGAGAGAGCTGCGGGACTGTGCTTTAGGACACCTGTATGTAAGCCGGCAGTGGTCGCGCGCCACACATGGGGGAACATCCGGCACGGATCAAAGCAGGAAAGCGAAAACAGTCTCACAGCTAAACGGCCGAATTTCTTTGCGCTTCCTTCAGAAGCAAGCGCAACAGTCCGTCGAGGGATTGAAAAAAAGGTCGACGTTCCTGCGGAGTCTTCTTCGCAAGACAAGGTGCATGTAATTCCAGACGCCTCCCTCTGGCCCTGGCCCATAATCACCGACGTAACACCGTGGGAGGAATCGGTGAGAGCCGACAGGCACAGCGAGATATCTAGGCATTCCACGGCCCTTGCCCATCGTGAAACATGCGAACTTGACGAAATGTTTCGCCCAAGGTTTCTACTGTTTGCCTTGACCAAGCGCGGATGTCTTCCCACCTTGGTAGTCGAGTAACCATATTATAATAAGGGCACCCTTTTGGGGTTGGTTGTTTTATAAGGGAACCCATACAGTAACCCTAATGAAGGGTAAAGGGTACCACTGGGGTACCAAGCCACCCTTCTTTCATGGCCAGGCAGATCATGTGCATAAGCCGCAAAGTCATCGCCTGCGGCAAACGGCATTGAGGCACATTCCCGGTGGCTGCCAAAAGCGCGCTCCACTCCGCGGCATTCCTAGGATGGCCCCCCGAAAACCCTCTGAGAAAAAAATATTCCCGAGTAGGATCCTCTTGAACCCAAGTAAGGGAAAATATATTCCCGAAGATGATCCTCTTAAACCCAAATAAGGGAAAATATTCCCGAATGTGATCCCCTTCAACCCAAACAAGGGAAAAGATAAAATGTCCCAAGGGCCTACCTAGAATAACCCTAAACCCTAAACCCTCAACCCTAAACCCTCAACCCTAAACCCTAAACCCTAAACCCTAAACCCTAAACCCCTAGACCGTCCTTCCGAGAAAATGTCCCAAAGGGCCTACCTAGACTCATGTCCGAAGGCATCAAGCTGGCCATTGGCAGTAAGCCCGAGTACACGAAGCTCAGGCAAAACAGTCCAGCGGCCAGCTTCTTGTGGCTCAGCATCGGAAAGCACCTAGTTCAGTTGGGGGTTTAGGGTTTAGGGTTCAGGGTTTAGGGTTTAGGGTTTAGGGTTTAGGGTTTAGGGCTTAGGGTTTAGGGTTTGGGGTTTAGGGTTTAGGGTTTAGGGTTTAGGGTCTAGAGGGTCTGTTCTAGCATTCATTCCAGGCTTAGAAAAAAAAACACCCGCCCAAAGAATCCCATAACATTAAGAAAATAAAAGATTTTCATCGTACCCCAGAGAATTTTACCTACCCAATTCGGACACGTTTTCCACTGAACCTTCTGGGGCCGAAAAATCACGAACATTGGGGTCAGATTGGCCAGATTGGCCGAAAAGTCACGAACATTGGGGTCAGATTGGTCGAAAAGTCACGAACATTGGGGTCAGATTGGCCGAAAAGTCACGAACATGGGGTCAGATTGGTGAAAAGTCACGAACATTGGGGTCGGATTGGCGAAAAGTCCCGAAGGTTTAAATAAATAGATAGATATATATATATATATACATACATGATAGTTAGAGTTTAGGGTTTAGGGTTTAGGGTTTAGGGTGTAGGGTTTAGGGTTTAGGGTTTAGGGTGTAGGGTGTAGGGTGTAGGGTGTAGGGTGTAGGGTGTAGGGTTTAGGGTTTAGGGTTTAGGGTTTAGGGTTTAGGGTTTAGGGTTTAGGGCTTAGGGTGGGATAGCATTAAAAGTTTGAACTCGTATTCCTTATTGGGTTTAAGTACCCTTAAACATGCAACATGTTACCCAACTATGACCGAGGCACATCATCACGGCGCGCGCAAGCAGCAGAGCCTGTGCATGCAACTGCCGGACAGGAGCCTGGAACTCCCGGCCCACCAGTCCGAAGCGAGTGAAGTAGACAAGGCACCACTTTTCCTATACTGAAACTTGGCACCCGAGCAAAAAATGACAACTTTGGCTGTTCCTTAGGAATTACCCTAAACCCTAAACCCTAAACCCTAAACCCTAAACCCTATAGCAACCAAAGATTAAAAATGATTTCCAAGTATTTTTAAGGCTCCGTGCAGGCAACTTCCACCTGCCAGTCGAGTGCACCCAAGACCTTCCTTGGTAGCCCAGCAACCATCTTATGATAAAGGAACCCTTTCCCTAAACCCTAAACCCTAAACCCTAAACCCTAAACCCCAAACCCTTGGACCAAAAAAAGGGGAAAAAGTGCACCACTGGGCTACTGAGCTTCTCCTCATGCAGCCTCAGTGCCTCGAGGGACACTGCCGAAGTCGCCGAGCTCTGCGTGGAGTCGAGCCATGTGGCAAAGTCTTTGATCAGGATCATACCTTAGGGTTTAGGGTTTAGGGTTTAGGGTTCAGGGTTTAGGGTTTAGGGTCTTAGTTGCTAAGTTCAGAAGCCCCTAAAAAGTGTACACTTTCAGTTTTGTAGGGGATTAGAGTATCCCAAGAAGTGTAAAGTGTACTCACTCAGCTACTAAGATACTGGGGTCTTCCTCATGTGCCATCTTCGGCACACTGGAGATGCACTTCACGACAAGCTTGGTCAAGCACACGCAGGTCAGCGGCAGCTGTTCTAAGCGGAAGAAGCTGCTTGCCGTCAAGCCTGTACTGAACTTGGAACCCTAGCAAAATTGTATAATGTTTGCTGCTTCTTAAGAATTAGAGTGCCCAAAAGTTAAAAATTCTTCCGAAGTAGCCCTAAGAAACGATCAAGAAGGAGGGCCGCCTTGAACCACGTGTTTTCCCCAGCCAAGCCATTTGCCTGAAGCATTTTGAACATGCAACGCAAAGCCTTGGTGCGGATTGACCCGTCGAGGTTGCCTGACATCGGCTCGTGCACCATGTCATCAAACTCTTGGAGTTTTTTGATCGTGTCGGAGGAGGCACCCAAACGAAACAATTCCTCCTCCACATCCTCTGAAATCATCATCGGCTCGTACTGGGCATCGATCTTCTGTGAGGTTTGTTGACCCTCAAGCATCGGAATGGGCATGCGTAGCTTTTTACAAGTGCTGAGCATTCTTGGTCCAAAATAGCTTGAGCAGTAGGTGACATGGTCAGAAGGGGTGCCAGGGACATTCTGCAAAGCGCTCTGGACAACAAGCCAATGTGAGCATTCATTGAGCTCAGATCTACGGAGTCAGTCGCCTCCCTGTTTGAGGAGCCCAGGGGGGGGGGTTTGGTCCCCTGACCTAAGAATGCAAGACCTCCAGAGCTCCCCCACTTCGTAAGGTACCGGCATTCACATCAGCTGCGTCCTGCACGTAGCCGGCGCGGGACCTCGCATCAGCGCGCGAGGGGCTCAGCTTTCGCATCAGTCTCCCTCAGGCTTTGGGGCTCTGGGGCTTTCGACTTCTGACCCCAAGACAGGCTGGCAGGGCTTTGGGGTTTGAAGGGTGAAGGGTGAAGGGTGAAGGGTTTAGGGTTTAGGGTTTAGGGTTTAGGGTTTAGGGCTTAGGGTTTAGGGTTTAGGGTTTAGGGTTTAGGGTTTAGGGTTTAGGGTTTAGGGTTTAGGGTTTAGGGTTTAGGGTTTAGGGTCTAGGGTTTAGGGTTTAGGGTCTAGGGTTTAGGGTTTCGGGTTTGGGGTTTGGGGCTTAGGGTTTAGGGTTTAGGGTTTCGGGTTTAGGGTCTGGGCTTTAGGGTTCAAGGGCCTGAATACTTAGAATAGGGTTTTGGGAGGTTAGTATAGTATAATGAGAAAGGAGCCCTGAAGGAATACTATTAGTAATTATTCCGACCCCCATATTACAGTAGCTCAGTAGCTGTAAACAACCGTAGGGCACCCTTCGTGTGCCAGGGTTCGGAGTTGGAGTTTAGGGTTTCAGGGTTTCAGGGTTTAGGCTTTGGGTTTGTTGGCGTTTCAGAGCAGGGCCCTAAAGCCTCAACCCTAAACCCTAAACCCTAAACGCTGAACCCTAAACCCTAAACGCTGAACCCTAAACCCTAAACCCTAAAGCCAAAAGCCTAAACCCTAAACCCTAAACCCTAAACCCTAAACCCTAAACCCTACACCGCGCCCAGTGGCTTCCGCGTCGGCGTCGTGCCAGGCATTGGAACAATGAAGTCGAGGCCTGGCCGTAGTTGAGGGCTTAGGGTTTAGGTTTAGGGTTTAGGGTTTAGGGTTTAGGGTTTAGGGTTTAGGGCTTTGGGTTTTGGGTTTTGGGTTTTGGGTTTTGGGTTTAGGGTTTAGGGTTTAGGGTTTAGGGTTTAGGGTTTAGTTAGGACTTAGGGTTTAGGGTGTAGGGTTTAGGGCTTACCCAGGCACTCCAACTAACCAAGGAATATTCCTTAAACCATAGAAGGAACCGTTTGGCATGTGTCAAGGAATGTTCCTTAACTAAGGGTATTGGAGTCACTGGGTAGGGGCGTAGAGTTTAGGGGCTCAGGCTTTGGGGGCTTAGGGTTTGGGGTGTAGAGTTTGGGGTTTAGGGTTTGGGGTTTGGGGTTTAGGGGCTTAGGGTTTAGGGCTGGCTTAGGGCTTAATTCGGGTTTAGGGCTGGCTTGGAGGCTGAGGGTTCGCCCTTGCTGACGAAACCTCTTTTGCGCACATGTTAAACCCTAAACCCTAAACCCTAGAGACCCTAGAGACCCTAGAGACCCTAGAGACCCTAGAGACCCTAGACTGGCACTGCCTCCTTAAGATTGTCTGACAAGGTCCTGCAATCTCATGGCACAGGCTACCACCCGATTGTTTACACGTTTAGGGTTTTCGGTTTAGGGTTTAGGGTTTAGGGTTTAGGGTTTAGGGTTTAGGGTTTAGGGTTTAGGGTTTAGGGTTTAGGGTTTAGGGTTGTTTAGGGTTTAGGGTTGTTTAGGGTTTCGGGTTTAGGGCTTAGGGCTTAGGGTTTAGGGAAGAGCAACACTGCTTGCTGCGAAAGCATTGTGCATGCTCGCTCCCCTCAAGACCCAACTGGCCCAACACCCTTTTCTAGTGAAGGAATATACCTCCCAAAGAGCCGAAACCCCCTTCACTAAAGGGTCTAGGGTCTGGGGCCCAATATATCCCTCAAACCCCAAACCCTAAACCTGAAATCATTAGAAGGATCCCTGTATAGCTTATGGTCTATTCCTTAACCAAGGCGGGTTAGGGCTCTCTGGGGAACCTCTCTCGCTCCAGGAATCTCGAACGCCAAACCCCCGATGATCCCAATAACCCTAAACTGGGCGGGATATCTCTGTTTGGGGTTTAGGGTTTAGGGCTTAGGGCTTAGGGCTTAGGCTTTAGGGTAGCTTCATGGGTCCTTAATATGGTCCCTTGCCTCTTATAAAGGGTTCTGATGTATGAGCCCCTACATAATTTGTGTAGGGCATACAAGGGGAATATTTAGGGAGGTACCCTTCTAGGGGCCCATACTAAGGGACCCTGTAGCTACCCTTAGAGGATATCGGGTTTGCAAGGAACTGAGGCCCGGAGAACTTTAGAACGACATGGGTGTTTCCCAACAGGCAGGCACCCCTCAACAGACCCCAAGATGCTCTACTTGGAGGTTCATGCTACTTACTAACTAATCCGCCGAAGCCTTGGGCTGCAGGTGTTTGGATTCTTTATTTTGTTATTTTGCACTTTTTGGCCTGACATGGGTACCCCCCCGTCGCCGACAAGTGTCCGGGAGCAAACCGCCCCCACACCCCCCACCCCCCCCCCCCACCCCCGCCCCCACCCCCCCCCCCCACCCCCGCCCCCCCCCCCCCCCCCTCCCCCCTCTGCCCCAGCCCCTTGTATGTTCAGGTTTGTTGGTTTAGGATGTTAGGGTCGTTGGTTTCAGGTTTTATGCTTTTGTGGTTTTAGGGTTTGGGGTGTTAGGGAGCATGGCTGTCCGGCTAGCACCATCGTCGCCATGAAGCTACCGACCCAGGCAGTTAAACCCTACTTCCTACACCTGCTCCCTAAGCCACAAACCCTTTAGCAAACCCTACGAAACCCATCGAAACCCTGACCCCTAAACCCTAAACCCTAAGCCCTACACCCTAAACCCTAAACCGACAGAAGCTCAGGCCGAGGCGGGTCGCGTAGCGTTAAAATAAAAACTGTACTTACAACTGTATTTATCACCATATCAGGGCACTGAAGGGGCTTACAAATGGGTTATAGGTTATAGGTACAGTCATATTTTGTTAAAAGGGAACCATGAACCTCCAAGTAACCCTTCTTCTAGAGAGAAGCGCCCAAGAAAGAGTACCCCCAATTCTCGGAGACGCCCAGACCCAAATAAACCCCCCAGAAAGCACAAGTCCCCTCAATTAAGGAATAGACCGTAAACCATGCAGGAGTCTGATAATCGTCTAAGGAATTTTCTTCAACTGCGGTGTATATTGGGCCCTAAACCCTAAACCCTAAACCCTAAACCCTAAACCCTAAACCCTAAACCCTAAACCCTAAACCCCATTCAGCCCACCTGAAGCTCGGTCGGCTCCCGGGGCTTCGTTGGCCGCCGCCTGGGCGCGAGGCTGGGCGTCCTGACAGGCGGAGAGCCAAGGGACGAGAGGAGGGACCCTTGTTTAGGGTTTAGGGTTTAGGGTTTAGGGTTTAGGGTTTAGGGTTTAGGGTTTAGGGTCTAGGGTCTAGGGTCTAGGGTCTAGGGTTTAGGGATTAGGAGGGACCTTAGAACTTAAGCTCGGGGTTTGGGGTTTGGGTGGCCCGCTGGGGTGTTGGCGACAACCTCTGGTGATGTTGGCAAGCACAACTTTGCAAACGAGACCGTGGGTCTGGACACATGGAGAACAAGAATTGAAAACAACTGAATGCCCTCCACCAAAAGCTACACCCACCGCGGTTGAGATGTGTGTGTGGGTTAGCTGGGAAGGAATGTGCACACGCCACAGCACCGTCCCACCAAGTGAACATACAACAAGCCCCACTCCCAATACAGAGAACTCCAGGAAGCTAATACATAAGGATTCTTTGTACCTACCTACTAACCTACTAAATTTCCCGGCGGTTTGGGGCTCCCACCCCTACGGCGGAGCCGATGAGTGTGGAGTCCTGCAAGTAATATGCCTCTTCATCCCCATCACTGACTCCGAGTGTCCGTTTCAGCTCCGGTCTCTCCGCTTTCTGGAAGTCCGAGCTCTTGGCCAAGCTTCACGAAGCATGCGCCACTTGCTGGAGTCCATGCCATCCACTGCCATGCACAGCCAAAATGTTTTTTCCAAGCTCTTCCATGTTCAAACTGGCCGCCCCGCTCGTCATGGCCATACTGCCCTGCAGGGCGCCACGCGGCGCCTGCAGAACGATCTCGCACCCCAAACCCCAAACCCAGAAACCCCGAAGCCCTGCGGCTTCCGATTCGAGACTCCAGCCGCGGCAGTTGCTTGACAAAGTGTGGATTTAGAAGCACCTCTGAGGTTTAGGTTGATGGTTTAGGTTTGGGCAGACAAGCTTGCCCTGTTGGCAAGCCTTGTACCTGCTTGGCATACAATCTCATAGCTCCGTGGAACGACAAAGGGAAGCCAAGAGACCCGGTTTAGGGCTGAGGTAAACACCGGCCCACGCACTACGAAAGTACAAGGCAACAGCCTGCCACGACCACGGAGCAAGTGCCCAGTGGCCTTTAAAACTTGACGCCTGAACCCGAAACCTCAAACCCTAAACCGAAACCGAAACCTGGCGCCATCAACCCTGAACATGAAAACGCTAAACCCTAAACCCTGAACCACTCATTAAATCTAAACCCTAAACCACTAATTAAATCTAAACCCTAAGCCACTGATTAAACCTAAACCCTAAACCCGCCCACCACCCCTCTCCTTCTGTAGGTAGGCGGGCGCTGTCGAGCGATCAGCGAGACCTTGGCATGCTCTGCTGGGCTGCAGAGCCTGCCAGGCTCACCCCTGAGGGGTCGCCAAGCTAAAGTCGCCTAGCTTGGTCACTGAGGGCCAGGGCCAGCGCCCTGGAGGTCAGGCCTGAGAGGTCTGCCTGCAAGGCCCCAA